TCAACCGTCACATTCAACACTTAGCAACAAGACAGGAATTTGACAAGAAATACGGTAGCATCTTAAGTCCATGCAAACTTTTTTGTATTACTAGAACTTCAGACTTTGGATAATTTGGGTTCATGTGCAAATTTAAGTCAGTTTTTCAGTCTTCATCTTACATAGCCATAATCTGGGGATGTAGATAGAGCTCTATGTTTCTACTTGTTTTTTCTTCATCCAAGACACCAGGAAGGGAGGCCAGAGAGAAAAGTTGTGCCTTCATCCTTATGAGCTGAGGGCAAACACAAAACAAAACCAGCGGAATTTAGCTGTGAGGGGGAAAAAGAAAGAAAAAAGAAACACTCGGACTTTGCCAAACGATGAAGACACAACTCTCCAGGAACATGTGACTCACCACACAAAGTGCTCCGCCACAGACGTGATCCGCTCTCTTCCAACGCGGCCTCCGCTGCCCTCTCCCTCTGCACCGCGCACACAGAGAGAACATGGGCGCAGGGTCGGCCAGCGCACATTACAGAGAGACTCTTTGAAAAATAAGCCCTCATTTGGGCAGAGTGGATTCAGATGGCTTGGCTGTGGCTCAAAGGCGAGCGGCTCTCTGGGTCAGCTTATTATTTCGTTGGAGGCAAGGCGCTGATGTTCTCAAGTGTGGCGCACTTCAATCAAACAACCCCAGCAGCCCTGGCACACGGGTCAGGGCTGCGGCCTCGTCTGCAGGGTCCGAACCGGCCAAGACGTGTACCGCAGCGGACCGGGATGGGGCCGCTGTTCCCCCGGCATCTCCTGTCAGAGGCAAACCGGGTTCCCACACAAGCGGCGCAAATAAATAAAAGGCTGTAAATTGAATTCGTCTGTGGTTTAGGGAATCCCAGACCTGACCAGCGGGAAAAAAACAGAAAGAAATATGACTAAAATGTGCCAAGTTTTTGTAGTCGTGAGTGAGAAGGCAGATGTTTAATTTTCTTTAGTGTGAGCAGTGATGCAGAGAGGTGTGGATTTCTGTGTGTGTGTGTGTGTGCGCGTATGTGTGTGTTAGGTGGTGATGATGGTGGGGGGCTTCTCCTGTTTGCATTCCGCCTGTGTTTGTGCTTGTGAGGAAAAATATTTTTGACTTTTTTTTTTCTACATTTTTTTTTTGCTTCCCTCAAACATAGGAGAGCATAATTAACATAAGCAGACTCTCCAAACAAAAACAAACAATTAAACTCATGAGTCACAAAAAAATATGGAAGTAATCTTTGCCGTTTTCGTCTTTAGCTCGCTCTCTTGCCGGTCTCCAGCGACTCCCCATTCACGCGATTAGCTCTATAAACATACTTTTGTTTGTTCGGCTGAGCTCTGATTATTACCATAAAGGATTGCTTTTTTACTTTTAATGTTGCGGTAGTGAGTTCCTTAAACACCGGCAGCAATTAAATCACACTACAATTGACCACACGGAACAAGATCCACCTCACACACACACACACACACACACACACACACGCACACACACACACACACACACAAAACCACACACTCAGAAATGTCCGATCCACACGTGCGCGTACAAACTCAGAAATGACTAAAACAAATAAACGCTTAACACAACGGAGTGAAACGTAATCGCGGTTGAATGGGAGGCGTCGACTGCGCTTGACCTACGCTGTTGCTTCCTGACCGGTCGAAGGCAGCCTTGCGAGAAGGTTAACTGGACTATATTTGCTGCTGTTCCACTGCGGGCATCTGTTCACCGGCTTACATTAGCAGTTATCGGCAGCACCAATATTTGTCATGGCCCTGGAGTTGTGTAATTCAGACTTACCAAAGCGTGCCATCCGCCACCATGGTCTGTTTCCCCCCTCTAGCCGTGCCCTGATAGGGTAATGTGGGATGTAATGACGGCCAATTAGATGGGATCACCAAGCAGGACGCGCAAACGGAGCCCAGCAGACCCAGACTTCGGAGGGGAACGTGTCCTGCCATGGCTGTCGGCAACTTCGCCTTTCACTGATCCCTTATCGACATCGGAGCTCCACTTTGGAGCGACTTCATTAAAGCCGAAATTATCTCAAATCGGAGTCTTTGGCTAAACTCCGCTGGACTTGCAGTACAGCGGGGTTCCTTGACTGAGCAGGGCAGGGGAGGAATAGTTGGACCACCCAATTTCCAGCTGCAACCAAAGGGGCCATTGTGAAGCCGTGCAGCCAGCGCCTCGAATCACAGCACGGCTGAGGGTCGGCGGATGAATGAGTGCAGTATGAGGCGAGAGCAGATAACCTCTAGAACTCTGTATCGGTAATTGGACCTAATTAATTGAACAGCCTTTGAGATTAGCTTGGTGCAAATTGAATAACAGACGTTTTCCTGCTGAAGATTGGTTAGATATTTCACACAATGAGTTGATACGAAGTTCATGACTTGATTTACTTAGAGTGCTGTAAAATATTCACTATATTTCTAATGTGAATTATTTCTGTCACACTTCAATTAGTATCAATATCAGGCAAAAATGTCAGTAAAAAAAATGCAATTTTCATTGAAATAGCAATGAGTCTTTGTTTGCTTTACGTTTTAGATCCATAAATATTTATTTTATTTTTAATCAACATTGCTGTGGAGGAATTATAACCCTTCATCTCTGCAGAATAGTTTAAATTTGTCCACACCAGGTTTTATTTTTTCTTGGATGGGCGTTTGAGGTCATGCCACAGCATCTCCATCAGACTTTGTCTAGCCCACTCCAAAACACTATTCTTTTTTAAGCCTTTGTAAAAGCTACATACTGTAGCTATAAACTAAAAAAATAAATAAATAAATAGTTCTTTGCATATTTGATCAAATTGTCACCTTGTCTTGTTGGTGTGATGATGCACTTCTGATCATTGTTCTGAAGTTCACTTAAGCTTCCAATTGTTGAGGTTTTGAGGTTTGTTTATTCTGTATTCTTTAGTTTCGCTTTATTAGATCAGTGTTGGTTCTGTTTTACTTTAATTCTTTAGTGATTCTAGTTTATAATGTCGCTTTCTCTCCCTCTCTCTCTAGCCTGCCTTTTACTCTCTCCCTTCACACCTGCAACCCGTTTCTAATCAACCATTATATATAAACCTCATTCTCAGTCCCTCCTTGCTGGTTCCTCCTGACTAATCCTATTAAATTTTATTACTATCTTGTTGTACCTGGTTCCAGTTATGTTTTTGTTCTGTTCTGTCTCCCTCTGACCTCCATACTTTTGTTTTATGTTTTTTGTTCTTTATTATTTTTTTCAATTTAAATCCACAAAATCTACTCGATGCTTCCACCTGTTAAATTTGGGTCCATCTACTCAAACGCATCATGATGTTCAAATCGATAGCTCGTTTGCCCTATTGAATCACCAACACTGACCATAACTGAGGCAAGTGAGGACTGCAGTGCTGTACATGTTGTTCTGGGATGCTTTGTGACCAATTGTGGTTTGCCAGAGCCTAAAAGGCGTAGAAAAGACTTCATTGTCCTCGGTCTCTTATTTGTCTTTTTCCTGTGACTGGAGCAAGTCAGGTTGCTTTTTGAGATCATTCAGCCTACTTTATAGAGTTAGGGGCTTTCCATTCAAGCTATTTGTTGATTCTCAAGGTCTGGGACATATATATGCATTATATAAACATGAAAGCTTTGCCTGTCGCAGTGAATGTATGACAGGCAAAAATGTGACAACACTTGATTTTTTGAACAACTGTATCAAGAAAAAAACAGATTTTGTTTGAACAACTTGTTACAATCTCACCTAAAACTATGTGTAAATATTTGTATGATACATGTGATGAATTTTTGTTTAAAATAACTAAACATTATTACTTGGTAGGGCAAAAAAAAGTATAAGCAGTTTCTTTTTTTCTGTAAAGACTCCCACTCAAAATCTTGACATTAAGTCCGCTGACATAAATGAAATCATGCGACACGAAGGTGACGGTGGAAACAAAGTTACACAGTGGGTGGAATTTGTCATAGAAAGCTGCAGTATTCTTCTTCTGTAATGATCTCTGGATGACACTTCAGTCTGTGTATGCAAACTCTAGCATGTCTCAACCCAAACTGTAAAACCACACATACCAGAATGTTAATTTGCGATGTTTATGACAGAAATGATCTGGAGCCGCTGCGACAGCAATGAATATGTGACTGGCAAAAAAAAAAAAAACTGAAAAAAAACCAACATATTTTTGTCAAAATCCCTCGTAAATACATTCAAAATATGTATTGTGTTAACAGTTCTCCAGCAGGAAAAAGCCACAACACAGGGAAATCTCCCTGGGAACCGTCCTAGCCGCGTCAACAGCTCTGAGAGCCCGAATGATGTCAGAAGCGCCTTATTTCTAGCTATAAGATTAACTTATTTGTATGTGCAATTCAAGTTGTGAGCCAACAGCCAGGGAGGCGCACATACGAATCCAGTTTTGTGGAGACTTTTACTGTTGACACTTAAGAGGCTGAATCTCACTCGCTGTGACCAAAGATACGGAGAGGCTTCAGATGTTTTACAGTTGGTTTTAGCAGCTGTAAAAGATTGCGTCACTTCGTATACAGTAGTGCTGCTCGACGTCTGCTGGGTAAAACATGTGGGCATCTTGAAACGGTGTGGAAAGCATTTAAAACACGTCCACGGACAGGGCAAGGGGTGGTACCCATTACACCAAGAAGTAACATTTGGAGGACATGTGAATTCACCTCTGAGCGATTAAGTCATGTTGAATGTGGATTTACAGCCACTGAGACACCTGCTGCACAGACAGGCCTGCAAAAAATATGGCCTTTTTTTTGTGGCTCTGTTTTTACCTCATTTATGATTCTTTGTTTCTTTATGTTCATGCAATTTTTTTTCTCTGTATTTGTGTTTGGAGTTTTTCAGTACAAGCATGACCAGGACAAAAAAAAATCTTAATTTTTATTTAATTTATTTTTTTATTCTTTTGCACTGCCTTTAAGAGTTTTTTATTTTTTTTATTTTTTATTTTTTTTTATTAATTTCGTGCTTTTTTTGCGCAATGACAATGAAGGAGTTCTGGTTTTGATGTTGACATGAAACTTCCCATGTTAAATCATGTGAAATCATAACTTTCTCCTTTTGGTAACCACAAAACACATGTCTAGCGTACACTTCAGCTTCATAATGTTAGTTTTTAAACCTTATCCCGGGATGTTTAGCAGTAGGAGAATTCAGATTTTTTTCTATGTTCTTCAAACTTTCAAATTTTACTAATATTTTTTTGTTGAATTACTTTTTTGTCATAATAATCTGTTTCCTGTCATGATTGATGCTGCTCCCAGCCTCTCCCAAACCTGCTGATTAGCTCACTGCTCTCACCTGTGCCTTGTCTCCTCCGGCTGACTGCTGATTGCTGATGGCTTTCACCTGTGCTGCTGCCTTTATAAACTCCTGCTTTGCACTCACTCAAAGTGAGGTTGTTTGTTGTATTTGACTGTGGCAAAAAGAATATTTGGAGGAGAAATGGTGAAGCGTTCAAACATGATAATGTTGTATCAGGTATTGATAGAGGTGCAATAAATATGAAGTTGTTACGTTGTCACTGATGAACTGAAAAATGATTTAAAAAAATCCTAAATTCTTGCACTTTGCCTCAAATTGTCTAGTGGGACAAAAATCTGACACAATTTGGGTGGTCTTATAAAACACTAACGTAGAATAAAGTGGGCCAACATCAAGCTTCTGGACTGTCCTACTCATGTAGGACTTCAGAAAATCCTCTAAGCTGATTCTACGAACCAGTTGTCCCGTTTCCACTTCGACTCTCTCCCACTACATCAAGAAATGGTTTGCCGTGCTTGAATTGAACATAGCTTCCGATAGCCAGACGTTTGATCCAATTCCCCGCAGAGCTGTTTTCGAGAGCGCTGTCTCTTTTTCTCTCTAACTCCCAGGATCTCTTCTTGGGTGGCTGTGTGCGAACGAACCATCTGCTACATCGGGTTCAAATCTGCAGGCAAAAGAGTAGATGGGGGTCTGTCCTGACATGTAACGTTTTGCTTTCGTCCATCCCTGTCTGAAAGGTGGAAGCAATTAAAAAAAAAAATTTTTTTTTTTCAAGCATCGCAACAAATATTGGGCCATAAATCTGTCACCGATTTCACGCACGTGACCGGCTATTTTTGACGAGCAGGAAAACCGTAAATTGTCGTAATTATTTAGAAAAATCTAAGCCGGATTTTTTTCGCGCGGCTTGTAAAAATTACAAGTTTATGACAGCACCTTGAGCCTATTTTACTACCCAGTACGAGGGGTGGAGGGGTGGGAGAAACACGCACATATAAAAGAATCTGAAAATATTACTTGTAAGCACAGTTTATACGTGTAGTAAAGTTGTGTGCTGAAAAAGTTCCAGTTTCCTCTGTTAGAAATGAATGAGCGCAGCTGCCAGATCTGGCTCCCGGCCTCCTCTCTCGTCGTACTCGTTTGGGGGCTTCATCGCCGAGAAACGCACATGCAAACATAAATTACGCTGAGCTACGCGCACATGTGCATGCGACCCTCGGCGCATACCACGGGCGCGCAAGCACACACGCACGCTTTCGCATCGCCTTTGTGATGCCTCCAGCGGGTCACAAAGCAAAACAGGCGATTGACACCCTCTGGTTTCAACTTCTGTGACCCTTCCAGCAGCCTGTGAAGTAGGCACAGAACAGCAGAGCGGGGGCCCTTTGGAAATATCTGCGGTCAGCTGCGCAGGGAGGAGGGAGCGAAGGAAAGAAACTTGCTTTTAATAAACAAGATAATGGGTGCCATACGCCCCTTCTCACACCACTGCTGCTTGCAATCTCTCCCTCCTTTTTTTTTTTTCTCTCCCCTCACTTCTTTGCCTTTTCCACCTTACATTTTCTATAAAAATTGCATTCATGCTTCAAGAATGGAGTGGGGGGGAGAAAAAAAAGAAACTGAAAAAAGAAAAAAAAAAATAAGTCAATGGAGTGGAAAGGTTTGGCTTTGGTGGTGGTGGTGGGGGGGTGATCCTCAAACCAACAATTAACTGGCGTCAGGATGTTTATGGGCAGAGTTAGCTTAAGCGACTGGTCCTCAGATACTTCGGCGGTGGCCCTATGCTCTTTGAACGTGGAAATTATGCAAAAACAACAAAACAAAAAAGGAGGGGTGAGCAGATTATATGCTGTCATAGCAAAGGGGGGAAAAACATTTTTTAGATAAGTTGCTCTTGCTGTTTCAGATGTGAAGTCACAGAGCTTCTGTTTTTCTTAATTTGCTACGTGTGTCTCAGAAGTGGGTAGAAAACACCTTAAGAGTATTTGTAAAGTCAAGTTCGAAACGGATTTGGGCCAAAGGACTCCTGCGCTGGCATCAGCATAGAAAGCTGTGACGCAATGCATCATTGCCCATTTCTTTGGGAACCCAGTTCTTCTGTTACAGAAATGACAGAAACATTATGCTGAAAACATTTTTTTCTTTTTTTTTTTGCAGGAAATATGCAGGGAGTGACTCTTCGTTATCCAACATTTCCCTAAACGCAGATTAGTGAAGCATTTTGCTATGATTGCAGCAAATATTGGAAATCTGCGTGGTATTCCTCTCAGAAAGCTTGTTTGTCCGTCTAAATCAGCTGGAGATTTAATATTTGTTTGAAGATACATTTAAACTGTGATATTGGATATTCTTAAATCATCTAAAGGGCGAGGAAGGATAACTTTCCAGAAGAGGCAGGAGGTAGGTTTTATTTTTTTTTATTTTTCCACAATTAGCACCGCCATTGTTACAAATATCACTCAGACAAATTCAGGTTGTCACGTTGTAACCTCGCCATGCTGAGATTTCAACAGTTTAGCCTCTTTTTGTTTGACAAATGAGCAAAATCAGAGCTGCTCACATCTTCCCAACCAACTATTTATATTAGAACTGAAGGCAGATTAGATTGAAAACAGAACTAAAGTAATTGATTTGTGTCAAAAAGTGCCACTGTTGTGACACTTGTTTAATTATAATTCTGCTCTTATAACACAAACCTGAAAATCATTTTTTTAATAGTGCCTTGAAAACTTATTTGAACCCTCTTAAAATTATCCATAAAAGAGCCACAAACTTCAGTTTATTTCAAAGAGATTTTAAGTGGTTAACCAACACAAAGTAATCATAACTGTGAAGTAAAAGGAAAATGATGCCTATTATTGAGTCCAGGCTTTGTAGAAGCACCGTTCTGGTGGAATTACAGCAAAGCATTCACACAGCATCATGCTGCCTCCACCATCTCGCTGTTTGTTTTCTATCACATTCAAGTCATTTCTATAGAGCCAATTTACAACAAATGTCTCAGTGCACTTTACAAAAAAAAAGAATTTAAATTCACACATATATTCCCACTGATCCTAGTGTGAAACAGAACAGCAACGCTCAATTAGTTACTGGAAGTAATTGAAAAAGTCTATCAAACTGTGTTGCAGCACAGTTTGATAGACATGCCTCCTCACACTGAGCAGGCATGTAGCAACAGTGGAGAGAAAAAACTCCACTTTAAAAGAAAAGCCGTAACTTTTAAAGACTTTGAAAGATTGCGATGGATTTTATTTAGAGGTATCAGGGCTGAATAAAAACCCAAGCTACACACTTCAGATATTTACTGCTTAATAATTTTAAGCACTTTTACCTCTTTAAGATAAACCAAATAAAGTCCCAATAAAGAGCCTTTATTTGTGGATGCAGACGAACAAAATGTGAAAAAGTTTAAGGGGTTGAATACTTTTGCTAGGAGTTGGGTCCTTTAAGTTTAGGCTTTTGTGCTGTCTAGTGAGAGGGGGAAGAAAAGGGGAAAAAAAAGCACAGGGGATCAGTGTTTTGGATCATTTCAGTGTCAGAGCCCATGACTCCGTATGAACACGTAATTTACATCCAAGGCAACAAAGTGGTTTTCACCGCAGAGTCATAGCTGTAAAACCGCCGCTAACTGGTTGATGTGGATCCCAGCGTCTTGTGAGACTTTATATTATGAAATCTAAAGTCTCTGAAGACTCCATCCTGGCCACCGCTCTGCTGCGCCGGGACTTCTTTTTATTAGCTTGTCCGATCTTTCTTTATTCTCTCTCTCTCTCATTCCCCATTTTTTCCCCCCCTTCTCTTAATTTTCATTGTCTTCCTCTCCCAGCTTCGCTCTCATCTGCCGGTGCTGGTAAGCCCTGCGAGAACGTCACTGTGGTGTAGCGCCAAGTATTTTTGGCTCAGCAGTGCTTACATGTAGAATGTAAATTGTGGAGAAATAAGATCTAATTTACTGCTAAAATCGTGTTTTTTTTATTTTTAAGGTAATATCTGTTCTGACGCCACAGCTCTTAACAGACTGACTTTCTCTGACACATTATTGATGGGGCCTCATGTTTCTGTGAAAGATTAAAAAAAATCAATAAAATGTGTCATCACTTGACTTTAAATTGAGATGTCGTAATCGATACGGTAATGTCATTCAAATGAACTAACCACACAATATCTGTTCTTCTCTCAAATTTAATCACAGGAAGAGCAAACGCCTTCCCAGGTATATCGCCTTCACCCTTCAACACTATGTATTGTTTTCAACCAGTGTAGGGGCAGGGGATTCCCCCCCACCCCACCACGCACATCTTTTCCCGCCTTTGGCCAGACACTTGGCCGGCCCGATCCTCTGCTGGCACGGCGTGAGGCGCGGGCCTGCCAGAACACGCTGGAGAGCCAGGATTTAGCTGCTCCGCTTGCAGGAATGTGTCAGTCATCCCCCACCAGTCCGTCGCTGCTGATGATTCAAAATGACAATATAATGAAAGCGGTGAGGTGGAGAGGGTGGGTTGCTGTGATGTGCTACTCTTACCCACTTTGCTATCAACTGAACAGAAGAGGAAAGGGGACGGACCACGGTGCCAAGAAAAAATGTCAATTAGGGAACGTTGGTGAGTTAGAGTAAGTATGAGCAACTAATGATCGGTTGTTTGAACTGGGGCCTTGAAAGAATATTCGTACCTGTTTAACTTTTTCACATTTTGTTATGTCACAAGCTGATAATGTAACTTATTAAAAATATCTTTACATATTTGTTAAAACTGTCACTATGTGGTAAGTATTGTATGAGACGGATAAGCTGTGAAAAACCAGAAAGGTGGCAGCATATGGATCGACTCCTGACCTCTGGAGTTTACAATCACAGTCGTCTCAGGAGATTCCACACAGCGTCACATGGGAGAGTCACAATCTCTTAACTTTTTCCAGCCTTTCTTGTCAAAAGTTGACCTTGTGTTCTACAACTTTGTATTTTTATAATGTAGTAGTATGAACTCCCTTGGTGCTGAAATGTGCTATAGAAATAAACTCATTTTGAGCTTCTGTCATTGTACAGAAGCTCAACAAAATCTGGTTCAGTGCAGTCCATCTAAAGAAGAAAAAAGAAACGATATAAGACATGGGTGGACAGGTACCTGTTGACTTTCTAATCACAAAGACATTAGGGTGATCATCTGTGAATTGGAAGACGATGGACATTTGCAGCATTTTCATTTGGTATTGATGGAGTGGCCCAGTCAAAGCCCAGATCCAAGTTGTAAGTCAGAGTTGAGACTTAAAATGTCCTGTTCATACATGCTCAAGTAGACTTCAAAGACTACGCAACAATTTCCCAGCTGGTTGACACATGGTGAAGGAGTTGCTGTGAAAGTTGGTTCAACTTAGAACTGACTAATAAATGCAAAATGAACACCAGAACTTTGATTTGTAATTAAAAACTTACACCTTTTACCCATTTCCTTCTAAATACATGCAAGTAGTCCTTTGTGTTGGTTTATCACATTAAATCCCAATTAAATACATTTGAATTTGTGGCTGCACTGATCCAAAACGTGAAAATGTTCAAAAGGCTGGATAGTTTTGGACAACATTGTAGGAGTCGGCAGCAGTTTTCTCCGTTGCAGACAGATGTGGTGATTTTTGGTCCAATATTTGTGGAAAGTTCTCCTCGTTTTTTCCCTCCCAAAACCCCTCCGAAAGCATTCAGGAAATAAAAATGACTTCAAACAAAAGTATTCAAAAAAGCAAAACAAAGGATCTGGATAAAAAGGAGAAAGTTTCCATCCTCCCCATTCCCCCACCAACATAACTAATAGATTTCCAGTACATAAAATATTAATCAAGACGGATCGCTTTAACACGGGAGTGGGTGCATGGAGGGATTTGCATATTCAAGCCTCTTTCAGCTCACCCATTATTTCGTCCACCTTGTGGCTTCTGTCAGCTGGAGAATACCTCTGATGAAGGTGTCCTGGTCCGTCTCGGCGCCGTCGCCAGACAGATGTTGGCATTTGAATCAGAACCCTTGTGGGACCAGCATGCTCCTCTGGGGGGCGAAAGAGGGGGGAGCAAATTATATTGACAAACATGCATGAGATTCATCCCTCTGTCAGACAACCTTTTCAGCGGAGGAAACTTCCACTGAGTACGGCAGAACATTAATATTCTTTTTTTTTTTCTTTTGAATAAGTGACGACTCGCTTTCTCTTGACTGACGGATTAGTAGAGAAACACACACACACACACACACAAAAATGCAGTTTTTCCATTTTCTTCTCAGAAGATTGCTGTTGGAACTTTAACAAAGCACCGTTTCCTCACTTAACCAGGTGAGCGGAGAACAATTGCGACCCCTTTTAGCGCCGGCGTCCCATTTCGGCGTCCCAGCGAGGGTGTTGAGTCTAATCTGTGGTTAAGTATCCTGATACTCCTCGCTTTCCCTGATGTCTCCCAGGGGATGTCCTAGCTTGGCCGTCAGCTCAGGATTAATTAAAACTTCCCGTGTCCCTGCAGACGTATTAGTGAGCTGAGAGCCAGTCAAACACCAGTTTGTGGTTAGTGCAACAGAGGCTAATACCTTCTGCTTCAAGATGCTGTGCTATAATTGGGGCCTGCCCATAGCAATGCATTGCATGACAGGCACCTATTGTTTTACACCCAATAGAATGCCTGGATATTATTTATTTTTCTTCCGTCAACGTTAATGCGGCCCGTACCACTGCGTGCACCCCCACAAAAGTGGTATCAAAACGTTCAACTTGATCCCAAGAAGGGAGCTATTACTTTTAGTGGGATTCTGAGTTAAAATGACAACATAAATTGAGAAAAACGAGAAAAATCGAGGCTGAGTGTCTCACAGAATCACTAACCTTTCTCTCTGAAACACACACCCAGCACAGTGGAGGTCTGACTCCAAAACTCTTTTTAATTCCCCCTCACAGGCACAAATATCAGCCTATTAATCTCAAAGTTGGTCATGACATAGATACACATGCCTGCTCCCGTAAAATGTTTTCAAAATTTTGCTAGGGCTTATGGTTTTTTGTCAGGGTCCTGGAGATGACTGGGTGTCTCACAAGTATAGAAACTCTGTCTCCAGCATCCTGTCTGACAGAGAGAGCCAGCCCAGGTGCAGATAATTAATTACCATAGCAACGGGGCCCAGAGAGAGGCAGTGAGTAGTCTCACAAACAGGCGCAGTGACAGGTCTCACAATGCATTTTGGGAAGAATACATATTTCCTGTGACTATTCATATTTTGCTTTCATAAAATTATGATTTCTCTGAATTTTAGAGTGAAAATTAAAATCCTTAGTCTAAAGGTTGGTTTTTTTTTTTTTAGAAATAAACAATTACCCACTGTCTTTATTTTATTTATTTTTTTTTTTTTTTGGACAGTGAGTGAGAACCACATATGTGAAGGTTATAGTCGTCGGACTCGACTAAATTTCACTGTACTAGGGTTTTAGCCATTGTACTGTAGTGGTGAACCAGGTCAGCTATATTCAACTCATGTTAGTGCAATAATATTAAGCTTTCTTTTAATAAACGTTTTCTCTCAGGATAACATCNCATCTGCTGCTAGACTTTATTCACCATAACAAACTGAAAGGTACTTCATTTATGTTGACTTCTCAACATACTTAAGGATTTAGTCTAATGTTCACACATAGGCCTGTCAGAATAAATAAATCAATTAATCAGATGATTAAACTCAATCATTTCCATTGGCATGATTTATTGTTTCTCTTTTTTCTCTCTTTATACCAAAAACTGGATAATAAAAGTCTTCAGTTTGGTACTTTGGTCTCGATTTTTCAATATAATTTCTTATATTGAAAATTAATTTTGTTTAAAAATACTTCAAAATTCATTCGTTTTATTTATTCTGAATATTAAAAATGTCTTCCAGTTCCAGTGTTAAATGTTCATTAGAATTTAAAGTCTAATGACTTTTGAGAATGTGTTCTTGCATTATTATTTCATCATTGCCATTATATAACTTAAACATGGCCTCAAAAGAACTATATTATTGTTTGTTGAGAACTTTGGAACAACTTATACAGTAAAATGTTTCATGGTAACAGACCTATTCACACATCCTCCAGAATCTTCAGATTAATCTGTGTTTGTGTCTGGACCCCATTTCATCGGCCCTTAAACAAATATATACCTCGTCTGCAAACCAGGACAAACCTGCTGTTCATTTCAAGTTGATTAATGTAGATGGTAAAATGTATTCAGATGGTTTAGATTTTCACAAGCAGTAAATTTCTTAACTGATATTTTGACACAATTAACAGCTAATAAACACATACTTAGGAAAATAAATATTTTATGCATTTATAGCACCACTCAAAAATAGCCTTCACAGCAAAACATTTAATGTAAATCAACATAAAAAGAAAAATTTCTACATGCATTGTGATTATTCAAGTAATTTTCAGGTTCAGTAAAGTTCTGCCACAGTCAGGTCTGTCAGTGCATCAGCTGTTCAGGAAAATCAACATAATTTTTCTAACACTAACTGTCTATTTGTACTTTTCTCTGCATCTTCAGGCAATCTGCAGCAGCTGAGATTCTAGGAGGTTCAACACCAAAACCTGAAGCTTCAAACTGAGCCGTCAACTGAACCAAGACGCCTTTCAAACTACAGTAGTTAACCTGCTCTGTTGGTAGATGTTATGGTATATCCTCAATCTGTACAGACTGACCTTGGTCATATTTGAATACACAGCTTTATGGTGTTTTCTTTTGTTAATTGATTATAGTAAATATTTGAACATCCATGTAAGTTCAAATATTTGACATTTCATTGTTAACTTTAGGTAGCTGTGAATCCACTCATGTTAATCTGAAACTATTTTGTTAAAGATTCAACAGATTTGTTGCAATCTTAAATATTTAATCTGTCCTTTGTGTGCATTAAAGTTAATTTAGGTGAACATTAAAGTTAATTCAGGAAACACTTGTCATCTTCTTTCTACAGTACAAATTGAATGATGCCTCTATTAAAATCATATATTTGTGACATCAAACTTTGTTTCTGTCATAAAGCAGGCTAAATGTTTGTAATTTACTTTCAACAAATGGAAACCAAAATGGTTTTAAAGTAAAGACACTATGTAAACTCATCTACCTCAACACAGGTAAAGTTTCCACTGTATGCAAGTAAATGTGATTACGATTGAATGACAATTGTACAGCAGGGCTTTAACTCCAGTTCATAAGGGTCGGTGTCCTCCAACCTTTAGATTTATCTTCTTTAACACACCTGAGTCAAATCATGAGGTCAGAGGTCATTAGCACGACTCTGGAGGACTTGACTGTCCTAAGCAGCCATTTAATTCAGGTGTGTTGGACCAGGACGTATCTAAATGTTGCAGGACACCAGAGATTGATGCCTGGATCTGAGGATCCTGTTAGAGGATCAGTGTGTTCCTGCAGCAGCTCCATCGGATCAGAAGGTAGATGAGATCTGAAAGATCCTGATCATCCAGAAAGTGAAATAACACCAGACCCGATCCATCAGTCAGCCGTTTCATCCTGTGTAGAGATAAATATAAAATGTTATTTATACACAGAAAGTCAATAAACTAGAATCGAAAGGATATTTATTTCACATAATTATATTCACTTAGTGAATAAAGTAAAAGACAAATCAGAATATCTCACAAACTATATATACAAATATCAGTCAGCAACTTGACTTAGAAATGTGATTGGAACCTTTTGGGCAAAACAGATACTGTAAGAACCACACAGAGATCATTTTATGGATTAAAGATTCAAACTGTGCAGAATGAGACAATAAAAATACACGGACTTAGCTCCCAACAGCTAAAGTAGCATAGCTGACATAAACTTTAGCTCCCGCTAACAGAAACATATGAGGAGGGCAGAGTATCAAAATACCAGACATATAAAACGTAATCTGAAATCATTTATAATTACTCCATGTCTCATTATAATCGGAGAGCAAAGCCTGCAGGTTTAGCTCCTACTTACTTCAGAGGACAGACCACCGGGACGCTCCGTCTTGCTTCTGGGTTTGCCTGGCTATTTTTCCGGCCAGTGAACCATTCCGCCACCTAGTGGTCCTTTTTCAGACCACCTAGTCTCCTGTACCGTTCAAAACGCACAATATGTCTATAAATAATTTTAGGATATTATAAGGAAGTGCTGAGATATACAGTTTTCCAGCGAACTAACGTATTTGCTACTTCGGCACAGTGAGAAACGTCAGAGGATAAAAACACTAGACTCCGAGCAAAACTCAGATGTCCCAGCTTTTACTAGCATATAAACGCACCATCAACACACAAATCTGGGAGCTTCCAGGAGGCATGAAATGAGTCTCAAAAATAGTTGTGCACTCGTAACCCTATTTGTGTGTAACTGCAGTTTTGTGTGTGCGTACCAGGTGATTTGTGTGTACTTTTTCAACATGTATAGGCGTAGGAGAAGGTTTATTTTTATTTTTAAGGTTTACAAATCCAGTATTACACACGCACAGATCTTTTTACACACACACAAATCTTTTTACACACGCACAAATCATTTTACACACACACAAATCTTTTTACAGACGCACAGATATTTTGAGACTATTTTCACTCCATAGCTGCATGTACCCCCACAGAAATGGTATCAAAACGTTCAGCTTGATCCTGAGAAGGGAGCTACTACTTTTAGTGGGATTCTGAGTTAAAATGACGACATAAATTGAGAAAAATTAGAAAAATCGAGGCTGAGTGTCTCAGAATCAGTAATCCTTCTCTGAAACGCACACACAGCACAGTGGAAGTCTGACTCCAAAACTCTTTTTAACTCCCCCTCACGGGCACAAATATCGCCCTATTGATCTCAAAGTCGCTCATGACATAGATACACATGCCTGCTCCCGTAAAATGTTTTCAAAATGTTGCTAGAGCTTATGGTTTTTTGTCAGGGTCCTTGAAACCGACGCTGGGTGTCTCACAAGTATAGAAACTCTGTCTCCAGCATCCTGTCTGACAGAGAGAGCCAGCCCAGGTGCAGATAATT